CCGAGCCTGCAGGCCCTGCCGCCCCCGCCACTGTCTCCTTTGCCCAGCGCCCCGGCCGAGGCCAGCGGCAGCCACCAGCCAGACCTCGCCCTGGACAGCTCCGGGAGGGAGGTGCTCCCCGGCAGCGCCCGGCCTGCCGTCCAGCAGGCCTGCGCGCGGGACCCGAGGGCCAGGGGCCAAGGCGCAGAGGGGAGGAGGGCTGCTGGGCCACCCCACGAGAGGCATGGGCCCCCCGCTGCCGCTGGCAGTGGCGCCCCTGGCCACTGCCCCGACGCCCCCTCCCAACTCCAGAAGGAAAAGGAGGTGCCCAAGGGGCACGCGGGGGGGCCCTCTGGTAAGAGCAGCGCCGCCAGGCCCGGGGGCTGCCAGAGCCTGCCCAAGGACACGGCCGCCCCGCCTCTCCCCAGCCAAGCGCCCGTGTCCCCAGAGACGCCCAGGAAGGCCGGAGCGAGCCCGGCGCCCACAGAGCCGGCCCCTGGCACCGAGGGCAGGGTGAGGCCCGCCACCCTCAAGGCCAAGCCAGGCCCCCACTCCCAGGGCGGCGGAGACCCAGGACGGGGGGCCAAGACAGCCGGGGGCAGCCAGCCCCAGCCGGCCAGCGGGCAGCTCCAAAGCGAGACCGCCTGCACCCCGGCCAGGCCCGGCTGCCCGGGCCAGACCCTTGCCCCCGACAAGCCTGGCCCTCGCGCCACAGCCAAGGGCTGCCCCAAGGGGCCCAAGGAAGCTGGGGACCAGGGACCCCAAGGGAGCCTGGGCCCCAGGGAGGACGGAGAAGGCACTGCGAGAAAGAGAAAGAACAGGGCCCCCCGGCCAACCAGGAGCAGAGGTGGGGGAGCGGTCCCCGAAAAGCCCCCTCGGGCCCCCCGAAAGCAGGCGGCTCCCAGCCGAGTGCTCCCCACCAAGCCCCGGTCCAGCAGCAAGACACCGCTGCAGCCACTGGCGCCGCGGAAAGGGGAGCCCACCCCTGCTCACAGGGATGCCCGGCCAGGGGGGCTGGGCCAGGCCCTCCCCCAGGCCAGACCCCTGCACGGGTCCCCCAAGAGGAGCAGAGTTGTCCTCAGCGCCGGGCTGGCCGCTCCCCACGCCTGCCGGACGGCTGAGTCCCAGAGCACCCTCCTCAGCCAGCTCTTTGGGCAGAGACTGACCGGCTTCAAGATCCCCCTAAAGAAGGGCTCCGCCCAGTGAGCGCAGCGGCGGGCGCCGGCAGCAGGGCCGGTCCAGCGGGGCAGCCTCGCGGGTGGCCCTGGCCCGCGCCAGCCCGCTAACTCACTGGTGGACGCGAAAGCTCGTGCTGCC